TGTCCAGCAGCCAGAGATGAGAGCCCGGCTAGGGCCTGGTCCTCCAGCAGCTCAATGCTGTTTTCCTGCAGGTGTAGCTCCTGCAGTCGCTGAAGCAAGGACAGCAGATCATCAGGCAAAGGGACCCTAGGAGACATGCCCCCTTACCAGGCTAGGCTGAGTTGAGTTTTGTCTCCACTGCTCTAGCCTGGCAGAGCAGGGTTAGTTCAGGAGGACCCCTCCTTTTCCCTGCCCTCCCCCTCACCGGCAGGTGCAGGAAGGTGAAGTCCAACAGCTGTGCTAGCTGGTTTCCAGCCAGGTAGAGGACACGCAGCTGGGCCAGGCCGGCAAAGGCGCTGACGTGCAAGCTGCGCAGCCGGTTGCCTGTGAGCGCCAGCTCCAGCAGGCGCGACTGAGCATGGAAGGTGCCTGGTTCCAGGGCACGCAGGCTGTTGTTGTGCAGGTAGAGGCGGCGCAGGGCGGCCAGGGGCGCCAGGACCGCTGGCTCCAGGCGTGTGATGCTGTTGTCCTGCAGGAACAGCGTCTGCGGGCCAGAAGACGGGCCAGTGTTTAACCTGCCAAGGGAGTCTCCCTCTAACCTTAGCTGGCTTCTCAGCCCAGGTCCCCACCTTTAAAACTGGACCTCACACACCCTTCCCTCCTGTCCCAGGCACTCGTGGCCCACGGCCCCACCTGGTGCCCACCTGCGTCCCCGGCGGGATTCCGGGCGGGAGGACACGAAGCCGCAGGGCCCCGCACTCCACCGTGGTGCTGTAGCAGCGGCAGGCAGCCGGGCAGCCAGCGGTGTGGGGCGGGAACCTGGGCAGCAACAGCAGCAGCAGTGCAAGCGCCCCCAGGGCCATCTCCTGTGGGAGCGGCTGCGAACCACGAAGCTGCAGCCTCCTCGCCAGCTCCACGAAGTCGCCGGCTTGGGTGCCTCCTGGAGTGCAGGTTGGCAGACCTGCCCTGAGGTTTGAGAGCCAGGGAAGAGCATGGACGGAACCTCACACCGTGTCCAACATTGGAAAAGTCTCATCAATTTAAGAAATATAAATAAAGCGTGCGTTTC